TTTACTGTGATAGGCAATTTACTGAAAAGAGGAACTATTCCTGCAGAGATGATTAATATCACACAGTGAAATGTACAACATGTTAGCTCACCATAATAGCAACAAGAGGTGGCAACAAAATTATTACAGCAGTACAATATGTACTACAGTTGATTCTATGCAGTTATGATTTATTACTGCACCTTTATGTTTGCTTACATTTCTCACAACTATGAATGGTGCCATGTATGGTCTGTAAGTGTTTTGGTGTGTAAGTTTTGATAAGTTTTAACTTTTATAAAAGATTTGTGTACATTTTATGGTAGTAAATGATAAAATAGACTAGCATCTACATATATTTTATACATTCATGACATATCTAACTTTTCCTTTTTTTGATATTTATAACCTTCTGTGGTTCATCTGTGAGTTTTTCAAATTGTCACAAATCTCCAAAATGTTTTCTAATATATTTACTGGAAAAAATCCACACATACACGGACCCACGTAATTCAAACCTGTGTTGTTCAAGTGTCAACTGTGTGTGTAATTGTCCACATGAACTGTTTCGAGTCCTTAGCACACACATATATTTGGTATTTTCTATTCTGAATATACATGATGACATGTATATACTGCTATGTTCCAGGTAAGAGGGTCATTGTAACTAGAAAAGTCCTAGTGCCTCTCCTTTAACGGAAAACAGGGCAGTGTCTCAGTAGAGGATTTAAACAACAGGGCTGTTCTATTCTCTCGAGTCTCCAAAATGTAAAAGGTAAATGTTTCTTTCCAGCTGTGATACCAACCGGTATTGGGTAGGTATTACCCACTCCCAGACTTGTCTTGCTGCCTGCAATCCAGCCATCCTGAATTGTAGGAAACAGAGACTATCACCATGGTGTAACACAGACATGACTAGTGGGGACCTAATTGTGAGGTGGGTAGCCACTCTGATTTGTATCAACCATAGAAATTCCTCTATGGATCTCAGAACAGGTGAAGACCACCTATGTGCATCTCCAGCTACGTGGTCATTAGTTACCAGCGATCTGAGGAATTCAGTGGCCTAAGACCTGGGCTGCTTGTCCCAGTTTGCTGTACAATCACTCTGATCTACAGGTAATCTGATATTATCATTTAACTATGCCTGTATGTTAGCTCACTTGAGTACAGGACCTGTGTTCTTTGAATCTTTAATGCTGTATATTTAGTGGGCAACTAACAAATAATTGGTTTGATGAAATGGACTAGAGAATCACACAAAACTGTATCAAAATAAAAATTCTATGAATGATCTATAAAAAAAACTTTTTGAAATTCAAGATGTTTGGATAATGAAAATAAATGTGATGCTTGCAGATCAGATCATATACACAGAACAGAATAATACAAACAGAATGTCCTAGAAAATTGGATATGAACTGCCTATAGTAAGAGATCCCCAAATTTATTTAAGATCACAGCCACCCATAACATTGAGCACTTAAAAAAAAGCTGGTGGCAAAAAGAAAAGTTAGTGGCATTTGAAATAAAATGACTCTTAATGATTGATAGTTAAGGAAAGGACAACTAGTTAGAAGGTAAAGTGTTATTGGACAGAACATCCTTATAGTCTTCCAAGTTGCCTTCAGAGATACAGTTGAAAAGGTCTGTGTGAAAATAAATTCTATATAATATGTTCTAGTTTTAAAAATTATGTAGTTTCTGTATTTTTAGGTACTAATGTGCAAATTTGGGCTCAAATTCATTTTAAGGCAACACTAATATGGTTGATAGGTTTTTCTTTTCTGGAAATAAGGTTTTTCTAGATTGCCTTCTCGATCCCTCCAAACTCCAAATTTCTGAGTCTATAAACTCCATTGTATCATATAGCTGTGTGCTGTCTTGGAAGCTTACCATTATCATAGAAGGTAAAATGACCTTCTATGAACTGTTTGGTAGATTTTCCTAGTAGCACATTGTCCCTGGTTCACTGCCACTGTAATCATGGTGTCAGTTGCTACTATGTTTTCTTTGAAGTTCTAGAAATGAGCCACAGGAACCTTCTAACTTTGGAGAAATCACATGTTCTCTTTATTATAATTATCTTGAGGCCAATGTGATGAGAGACAACAAAGGGATATTTAAAGTCTGTAGCTATTAACACCCCAAAATCAAAAACTGTTTTAGCTTGCCTAAGGCCACTCCTCTAAAGCCTCCTTTTTAGTACTTGAGACAGAAGATATCTAGAAGCGGGGAGTCTGACTTGAGCACCAAAAGGTTGTCTTAAAATTCATGTTTTATGGCCTCCTCTTCCTATATCTGGGAATTGCAAATATTTATCATCTTTTACCCTTTTCCAATATTCTATCAAAAGGAAATTAGTGGAAGTATATAAGCAAAGACCCAAAGCAGGGGAACTCTCCCCTTCCCCACCTTTTTTTGGATGGCTGAGCACCTTAGCACATGATTTTTAGGCTTATGGATTTTAGGCATGCACTTCTGCATTTGAGTATTAGTTCTGTTCCATGTTTCCAGGCCAACATTATCATCTGTAGAGTGCATGAATCGTAGGCCACAACCCACATATGCCAAGCTGACTGCCACTGCTGAGGCTGCCATTGTTTTTGTAGGGTTCTGTACTTCTCTGCCACTCTTCCCATGCCCTGTGCCCAGTCTTGCTGGGTTACAGAAATCTTTAATCTTTGTTAGGGTTGGGAACCCATGGGACTTTAAGGACCCAAATAATTTCTATTTTGGGGCTATCATACTTCTCTTTTTCTGCTTCTCTCGAGCATTCAGCCTCTTTCAAATGTTTTTCTCAACCGGCTCAGCCTTTTTGGAACTCAAAAGCCAGTAAATCTAGTGAGAGTTTCTTCCACTTGTTTTTTTGAGACAGTCTCACTCTGTCACCCTGACTAGAGTGCACTGGTGTCATCATGGCTCACTGCAACCTCAATTTCCTGGGTTCAAGTGATCCTCCTGCCTCAGCCTCTCAAGTAGCTGGGACAACAGGCACACACCACCATGCCCCACTAATTGTTTTTTTCTATTTTTAGTAGAGACTGGGTCTCCTTTTTGCTCAGGTTGGTGTCGAACTCCAGAGCTCAAGCAACCCTCCTGGCTTGGCCTCTCAAAGTGCTAGGATTATAGGAATGAGCCACCCTGCCTGGCTTTGCCTTCTTTGCCTGCTATATACATAACTCTTTCGAGGTAAGGAAGCAGAGAGGGGAAAACACAGGTGGAAAAAGTCATAGTTCAAAACATTAATATTCAGCTATATTAATTCAATTCTAGAGGCAATCATACCTTAAGAAAATAATTTTATAGAAGTATAGTGCTTTTTTTTGCTATGGAAGATCTTCACAACATATTGTTTTGACAATGAGTTAAAAAGCTGTCTATCAGACACCTTCAATGTTTAAATAGAAAATATGTGTCTAAAAAAGTAGGAACAGCTATATATCACCATGAAACAGTGGGCATCTCTGGATATGGCTGGAATCCACACTTCGTAAGCAGCCTTTTAAGTAGCTGAATTGGTGAAAATATCTGAGATTGACTCAGGCCTCACTAATATTGCCTTACTTTCTGCTTTATATTCTTCTGTTTAATATTTTCTGTAATCTACTGAATAACATCTAAAGACCTGAATGTACTAAATATACAGAATATTAAGCCCATAGTTTTATTTAGCACATTAGTAAATAAAACGACCTTTAAGTATAGCTACATGAATTCAATATCTCAAACTTAAAGCTGTTGGATTTTACATTATTCTGAGGTTTGAGGAAGATTGCTATGTGGGCTGAGTCACTCTGTATGCTGCCGCAAATTCTGCCTTTTTGTCTGTAAATAATTAGGAAGACCAAAGGGTGCCAGAGATAAGACCCCCTCAGGTCACGGCCCCTCCTCAGGAAGTAATAAGGTAATCTTCCCTGGAATGTGGTAATCTGTAACCAAATGAATCCCTGGTCTCCCGTGAAAAATGTTGAGATCTTGCTACAATTTCTCTGCGTCTGCCTATCCAAGTGAAACTTCAGTATGGACCGCTGACCCCCATTCATTAGGAGACGGTGTCTCCTGGTGACTACTCTCAACTTTGTGCGCGAATAAACTCTATATTTAATTATACTTGCTGAACTGCATTATTTAAGGTTGACAGGAGGGCAAGCTGTGATTAGAAGCGAATGTATCTTGAGATACAGTTGCATGTTTTTCAGGAAAAAAAAAGGGAAAAGGACTACTGAACTGTATGTTTTCTGACTCCAAGGCGTTAGGAAGGTGAAGTAGGAACTTGGAGAAGTTGGGAAAAGTATTGAATCGTACGGCAGTCATCTCTAGGATAATTTCAGTCAGTGGATAAGTGCGGGGAGATGAGAGCGAGGAGGAGGGAAGCAGCAGAGATCGCGCCAGGGAGTCCTAAGGTTCCCACTAGCTCACAGTTATTAACACCGCCCCAGTTCTCCGGGTACAAGGGAGCAATAATGGCTTCCTGCCATGCCTAGCACTCTGATGAGTCCAGGTCTCCAGACGGTAAACAGAAGGAAACTCAGCTCCAGGGAGGGCGGAGCTTGCCCACGAGTGTGCGGGGGTCTCGAGGGCGGGTGGCGACTTCCCGGAGCAGGGCACCTGTGAGGTGAGACACTGCGCTTTTTTAAAGCCCAGCATCCGTCTCCACCCGCCTGGCCCACAGACACCGTCGGCCGCCGGCGCTTCGGCTTGGCCCCAGCCAGGCCCCGCCTCTCTCGGGGCCATTGGCGCCATCCCGCTTCCCCAGGCAGGACCCCAGCCCACGAGGTAGCGCCAGCCAAGGCGCCCAGAGACTACAGGGCTGCCCCGGCTAAGCAGCTCCTCAAGCTTCGGAGAGGCGGTCAGCTCCCAGCGCGCAGGCGCAGAAATCGGGCGCCCGCCACGAACCGAACCCCGCCCCCACCTGCCATCCGCCGTTTACTTTCGAACAGCGGCCCCGCGTTCTTTCCCATTGGCTGACGCTACACAGTTGAATGTTGCCTGGACACTGCGCCTGCGCCGCGAGGCTCCGCGAGGCCCCGCCCCGTCTGGGCACCTGAAGTCCTCTGGGGCGGAGGAGGGCGGGAGAGCTGAGTCGCTCTCAGCATCTGCTTAGAGCCTGTGGAGCTCAGTTTCGGCGCTGTGGAGTCGCATGGTCTCTCTCCTCCGCTCGGTGAGTCTGAGGACCTTCTTTTCGGATCTGACAAGGCGGGTCCCTTTTCTCTGGGTCCCTTTTCTTTCTCTTGTAGCACAGGCTACTATACTGGGTTTGTTTGGCGGGGAGTCGTGGGGGGCTGATGATGGAGTGGGGGGCTTTGGTCCTGCATTCTTTCCCTGTTGTCCCCGATGGAGAGTTTGGGGAACCACTTCCCCCTCCCTCTGGTATGGGACCGCATTTCTGGGAGGGAGAAGGCCCGTTGTGATGGCGAGGATGAGTTGAGTGGGACTCCACGAAACCAGTCAGCCCCAAGGGTGGTGGGAGGAGGTTAAGGGCAGGAGGGCGCCGAGGCGGTGGCGGTGGCGGTGGAGGATTATTAGGAGGGAGGCCTGGGAGATTGGTTAATAAACCTTCGAGAAAGGGAAGGGAAGAGTACTGCCATTTTGAGCTCCTTTGTGCGAGGTTCTCACAGGACTTTATTGGGGTAGGTGTCATTATGCCCATTTTACAGATGTGAAACCTCGGTTTTGAGATGTATTAGGTAAAACTGACCTAGGGTCCCACTACATTGAAATGGCAGAACTTAGATGAACAAACGTGTTTATGGGAATAACCTAACAATAGTTATAGTTTTGAGGTGGCAAAGTTTTTTACTCCCATAGATGTTTCTTGTTCAGTTAACTTTAAGCAATCTAAAGTGACCATGAACGTTTGTTCCGTCATCACCATTGTTGCTTAGTATTTTCCAGAGCTCATGAGATACTTGACGCTGTAAAAAGAGGTCCTTTGTGACTGTCTGTTTGGTCACAGGGTGGTTGGGATTTTCAAGCTACTGGTGATACATACTGCAACACCAACTGTTGGTATTTGTCATTACTTTCCTAAAAACACAATGAGGTATAGGGAAGGTAAACGTCAAAGACCATGAATAATCGTTTATATGATACGAGAAAATAAATCTGAAACATTTAAGATAAAATTATTGTGATTTTAGAATAAGAATAAAAGAATCTGGAAAAGTTGGAGAAGATAAAGTATATTCAGTCCCCAAGCCAGGAGATCGACAAAATAGGTAAGCTCTGGAAGATTAAGTAAATATGAGAAAATATTTGGTAAATTTTTAGGGTGTATGACTTAAATATAAAGTGAAATTTAAAAGTCTTTGGAAAAAGACATATGTTGGTTGTGTATAAAATTCTAGCCATCTAATGAAAAGAGCATAAAGTGAAAAGTAAACAGCTCCCTTATCTAACCTATATCTTAAAGCTAGTCACTGTACACAAACTCTTTTGTATACTCTTTCAGAAATTTTACATGTGTACATTTCAACACATACAAAGATGGTATTTTATACATACAGATTGGCAAATTGCATTTATTAAGTTTCCTGGATACTTTTTCATTATGCATTTACATATTGATCTTTTTTAATGAGCTAGTAGCTATTCATTGAAGGAAAGGTGAGATTTTGATTTTAGGTAAATGTTGCTTTTCACGTTGCCTTTCACCAAATGCATTGCTGAATGTTTTCTACCAAATGTATTTTTTTTTTTTTTTTTTGAGAAGTAAAAGACTCAGTAACCAAATGTATTTTTATTTTGGAAAGTATAACGAGCAATTACATCCTTAACTTCTCAAATCAGTTCTTGGTTAAATTGTATCAATAGTTCTTTTTTTTTTTTGAGACAGAGTCTCGCTTTGTTGTCCAGGCTAGAGTGAGTGCCGTGGCGTCAGCCTAGCTCACAGCAACCTCAAACTCCTGGGCTTGAGTGATCCTTCTGCCTCAGCCTCCCGAGTAGCTGGGACTACAGGCATGCGCCACCATGCCCGGCTAATTTTTTATATATATATATATCAGTTGGCCAATTAATTTCTTTCTATTTATAGTAGAGACGGGGTCTCGCTCTTGCTCAGGCTGGTTTTGAACTCCTGACCTTGAGCAATCCGCCCGCCTCGGCCTCCCAAGAGCTAGGATTACAGGCGTGAGCCACAGCGCCCGGCCTCAATAGTTCTTTTTTAGTTTGGGGAAACAGGTTGGTACCAAAATGAAAGAAAACAGAACAGTTATACAGAGTTAAAATCAGATTTGACCATAGGATTTTTTTTTTTTTTTGAGACAGAGTCTCACTCTGTTGCCTGTGCTAGAGTGAGTGCCATGGCGACAGCCTACCTCACAGCAACCTCAAACCTCTGGGCTGAAGCAGTCCTTCTGCCTCAGCCTCCCGAGTAGCTGGGACTACAGGCATGCGCCACCATGCCTGGCTGATTTTTTTCTATATATTTTTTTAGTTGGCCAATTAATTTCTTTCTATTTTTAGTAGAAATGGGGGAGTCTCACTTTTGCTCAGGCTGGTTTCAAACTGCTGACCTTGAATGATCCTCCGCCTTGGCCTCCCAGAGTGCTAGGATTAGGATTTTTGTTTTTAATTTTAAAAAGTTATGATGATCTCTCATTTTTATGTATTTATGTGTTAAGTCTTGAATTGCATGAAATATATACTTCTTTATCAGGTAGGGCCACAAAGATGTGAGCACTAATCTGGGTGGTGACACCACTTGAATTTTCCCATACTTACAGCTGAGTCACTAGAAATCCTGAGGCAAGTCATCTAACTCTATAATGTAAATATAATTTCTTTTCAGAGGCTGTAAAGTGTAATGAATGTTTTTATAACCATTTATGTTTAGAGATGAAAGGCAGTAAAGCATATGTGAATTAAAGCTTAAAAAGTAGTTTACAGGGAGAATGAGCAATGATTTTTTTTGTGCTACTTAATTCATCATCTATTATAATATCTGTTATCTAATATGCTGGTTAGACATTGTGGAGGCTTCATAGGGAATTGGTCCCCTGGGGAAAGACTTCATAAAAGGTTTGGAAGTTCAGAAGTGTAATTTGACCCTTAAACACAAGAAATTAGTGAAATAATTTATAGGTAGATGATAGCCTTAGGTTTCTTTCTGAGAAGACTTTTTATTTTATATTCATATGTCTTGGTGAAAAGGAAGCAGGAAATCTTGAACCAAGTACCAATTTTTACATGGGCTTTACTCACTGGAGGGAAATACATTTTACATGGGTTACTTTTATTTTACTTTTTTGCTTTTTAAAAGCATAGATAGTGCAAGTTGATTCTAAAATTCATTTGGCAGAGGAAAAGCTGGGATAATAGGCAAGACACAATTTTTTTAAAGTTTTTCTATTGTGTTAAAATATATGCAACATAAAATTTACCATTTTAATTATTTTTAAGTGTATGGTTCAGTAGCATCAAATACATTCAGATTTTGTAACCATTACCACCATCTATATCCAGAACTTTTTCATCTCCCCAAATAAACTGTACTCATTATAAACAATAACTCTGCATCCTCTCCTTGGTTTTGATAGTATGTGTGTTTTTCACATCTAGTGTGATTAGACATTTTTTTCTCCATTGACTTAAATGAGTTAATTATATTAATAGATTTTTTTGTTACTGGATTATAATAACTTTCTATTTCTGGAAAGAAACCTCACTCTCCTTTCTTTTTTTCAGAGCGACACTTTTCTAACTTGTAAATTTCTTCTATCATTTGCTTTATCTTCTTGGGTCAGTTTTGGTAATTTGAACTGACTTAGAGAATAATTTATTTCTTATAGATTTTCAAATATGTTAGCATAGAGTTATGCAAGAGATTATCTGTAATTTTGTCTTTTTCTGTATTTGGTTTATGTCCTTTTCTCAGTGCTAACTTTGTATATTTGCTACCTTTTTCCCCTCTTAATTGGATAGTATACTTGGATAGTGTATTAATCTAATGCTGTATAATGAATTATCCCCAAATTTAGCAGCTTAGAACAACAAATATTAAAACACAAATTCTATGGGTAAGGAATCTACTTCCTGGGTGGCTTAGCTCCAAGGTCTCATGTGAGTTTGCGCTGAAGCTGTTGGCAGAGGCTATAGTCATTGCAGGATTTCACTGGGCCTAAAATATCTGCTTCCAAGCTCACCTGTGTAGATGTTTGCAGGCTTACCTTCCTTGTGGGATGTTAAGACTTAAGAGCCTTAGTTCATCATACCAGATGGACCTTGGTCTGCCTACGGCATGGTAGCTTGCTTCCCTTGGTGAGAGTGTTCATGAGAAAGGGAGAGAAAGCCAGAGCACTCTAGACAGAAGGCATGGTCTTTTATTACAAAATCTTACAAGTGATACCCTGTTACTTCTGCTGTGTTCTTTGTGTTAGAAGGGAGTCACTGGGTCTACTCCACACTCAAGGGGGAGGGGATTACAAAAGTACTCAGGAGCTAGAGGATGTTGGGGGCCATTTTAGAGGCTATCACAGATAGCTAATTTATTTATTTAAAGAACCAACTCTTGGGTTTATCAATTCTAGCAATTTTAAGTTTTCTACTTCATTGTTGTCTTCCATTTCTTATTAATTCTTTTCTGCTTTTCCTAGGTTTTTTTCCCCCCTAACTTTTCTCTTTAGTTGAATCAGCATTTTATATTCCTTTTTGTTTGGTAATGAAAATATTTGGTGTCAGCGCTGCCCTATAGAATTTTTTTTAATTCTGTGGATTTTGCTGAGAGTATTTTTACTGTTTCACATGAATAGATTATGTCTTGGCTTCATACAGAATTGTCAGGCCCTATCCTGTTCCTTCCAGACCATGTGGACATTGCTACATTGTCTTCTGGCATTCCTTATTGCTGGAGATGTTCTGATTATCTCCTGCTGGGTAACAAACAGCTGAAAACTTGGCTGGCCAGATGTGTAAGATGGCTTTTTCACTTACATGTCTGGCACCTCATTGCTCCTCTAGTTGGCTTCTTTCTTCAGCAGAGTAGCTGAACTTCTTATATAGCAGTTTGTGGCTCCAAGAGGCAACAACGTGCCAGGCTAGTTAAGGGATATACCCAGAATTCACAGTGTCACACTTGTGCTGTATCCTATTGTCAAAGTAGTCACATGGCCTGCACAAATTATTCTGGGGAGGGAATAGATTTCATCTCTTGATGAGGGAGTGGGGAGTAGCAACAAAGTCACATTATAGAACAGCATATATGGCAGATAATTGTGGGCATTCTAGTTTTATTTGGAAATTACAGCCTCCCAGAGGAGAATTCTGGGACCAATATGTTTTTGTTTTCCTTTTTTCATTTTGCTTTTCTGCCTGAATGCTTTGTTTCTTCCTTTAAAATTTTATTATATTTTTAATTGCTTGTTAATAGTTAAAAGTGAAACCACTATTTATATTTGTAATGAAAAACAGATTTCTGCTGTCTAGAGGCAATCACTTTTATCTTTTTACTATTTCTTTTGGTAGTTTCTTTTATATTTCTAAACAATATGCTTTCATTTTTAAGTATGTATTGACCGTCTTAGAAGGATGTCACTCTTTTTGGCAAAATAAATATTAATATTTGATATTTATACTATTATGACTATGTTACTATGACAACTGAGCCATATAATATGGTATTTCTACTCTTTTCATTGTCACTTTTTCCTAAATTTAGTTTTCTCAGTACTTCTCAGTATGTTCAGATACATCAAGTATTCTGTCAGTTCCATTTATTTACTTAAAGACATCCCTCCTGGATCTGCTTCCTCTTCCAGACTGCTTGTTCTCTAGGCCTACACAGTTGTCCTGGGCTTTTTATTCACCATTATCCTGGTGAGAATTCTTGCTTTTCTTTTCTCCCTGCAGTAACTTCTTTAGAAAGAGTTGGCAGGGGATTGTTTAATTTTGAGACTGTTCACATCAAACTATCTTTATATCAAAATGGATTTTTTTTTCTGGATATAAGAATTTTAGGTTCCATTTAGGAAGTACATTTTTCCTGAGAATATCAAAGACATTGCTTCATTGTCCTCTGGTTTCCAGCATTGTTATTGATGTTTTCACTGTTTGGAAACTTTACAGGATAGCTAAGACCAAAATGTTCATCCTAGAAAATATACATAGGTAAAGTTCTTTGCTCGTTTTCTTCCTCTCAGGAGCCTGGGATGGTTATGGAAAGTTTCTGGTGCATAAAATTTCATGCTGGTTTTTGAAAGAACTCGCTGGTAAGCATGATAGCCCCCTATAACTTCAGGAAGCAAACAGTCAGAAAGTTCCTGGACTTCCAAAGTTATTTTTCAACTAAGCTTGCTTCTTGTACTAGTTCTGATTTCTCTTGGATTTGTTGCCTGAAATCAGTTTTTATAATATTAAATCAGCAGGAAGGTAGTCTGAGAATAGAATTTGATTGCTGTGATCTTCAACTTATCCACAAATTTCTAGTTAAAAATTAATTTATTAAAAATTTTATATATGATAGCAGTTAAGTTTGATATTGTGATTTTCACTTTCAGGAGATGTCATTTTCTTTATGATATTATGGTGAATAGTCTCATTCTAAATAAAGTTGAATTTTTAGGCCCTTAATTGGATTCACAGAAATGTTGTTCCCTGGCTTTTTTACAAGGATAGAACAGGGCTTTGGGCTGTGTGTGGTGGCTCACACCTGTAATCCCAGCATTTTGGAAGGCCAAGGCAGCAGGATTCCTTGAGGCCAGAAGTTCAAGACCAGCCTGTGTAACATAGCAAGGCCCCATTGCTACTAAAAAAAAAAGGAAAGAAAGAAAGAGAGAAAGAAAAGACAAGAAAAGAAGAAAGGAGAGAGAGAAAGAAAAGAAAAAGAAAGGAAGGAAGGAAGGGAAGGAAAGGGAAAGGAAGAGGGAAAAGGAAAGGAACGAAAGAATGAATAGGGCTCTGGAGAGAAAAGTTAGATTCTGTTTTAGGGCTGGTTTTGCTACTTAATCATTAAATAGATCTAATTGTAGTATTAAATCTAGATTGAATGCTATAATTGAATGTCCACTGTTCAAACTTTATTCCTTGCAAAGTGCTATTTTGTTTATTTCTTCATTGTGAATTCTGACCCCACTGAAATACTTTTGAGAATTGCATTTGTTTTTCTTGGCTGGTTTTTATGATGACTTCAGAGCTGTCTGTAGGTGTAGGGCAGAGTTGTAAATTCTTCCCAGTGTGCAGTCACTTGAATTTATCTGCAGTGAATGTCATCTTCTGTAGTGTTGCTCAATTGCTTGGTTTCCTGGAATGCTTCATAGTTCAAGCTTAGTCTCTGTGACACATTTTGGCTCATTAGGGATCTGAATGAGTATTTTCTGATGGACTTTCGCATTACAGCTTTTCCTAAGCAAAGTAGAAATTTTGCTATTAAAAAAACAAACAAAAAAAACCCCTAAGATCTGTGTTAACACTGGTCTCTTGAAAAATAGTTGTTCCTTGAACCAATAGTAAGTTAAATGCCTACTTATGTTAGGTTTTGTGTTTAGGTTATAGGAATATAACCACAGTTCAGACACAATTCCTGCCTTTATAGGTGGTTTACATTCTAATGTATACAAAAATGTCATAAAATTCTTTTAAATAAAATCCCTTTAAGTGGTATGAAGTAAAAGTGCAGTGTTAAACAAGGCTCACTGTGGAATCTGGGGAAGAGGCAGGCTTAAATTGAGAGTTGAATGGTAAGAGTTGGGCAGATGGTTAAAATTAAGAGCCAAGAGCTAAAAAGTCTACAGTGGTTTTATGTTTATTAAAAGTGCAATTTGCTGGGCAAAGTGGCTCACGCCTGTAATCCTAGCACTCTGGGAGGCCGAGGTGGGCAGATTGCTCAAGGTCAGGAATTCAAAACCAGCCTGAGCAAGAGCGAGACCCTGTCTCTACTAAAAATAGAAAGAAATTAATTGGCCAACTAATAGATACAGAAAAAATTAGCCGGGCATGGTGGCGCATGCCTGTAGTCCCAGCTACTCGGGAGACTGAGGCAGAGGATGCTTGAACCCAGGAGTTTGAGGTTGCTGTGAGTTAGGCTGACGCCACGGCACTCACTCTGGCCTGAGCAACAAAGTGAGACTCTGTCTCAGTAAAAACAAAAAACAAAAAGTGCATTTAGTTTTTTTTAGATGCTGTTTTCACAAATTTTAATTTTACAAGTTAGTTTTATAGAGGGTGACTTGGTAACTTTTATGTTTTACTTGAATGGCATTTGGGTTTGTTTTGTTTTAGGTTCTTTAAACAGTGGTGTAACTTTATTTTTCTCTATCAAAGGGTAAGTCAGTCCTTAGGATTGTGACATGCGTTGAGGATAGGTATGAAGGAAAAGTGTAAGAGGTGGTAGGGTGAAAAAAACTATCAGCCTTCTGTCAGAAATACAGTAATGGCTTGCCAAGTTACTGGTGTCTTGAGTGGTCTGGGAACTATTGCTGGGTTTCTTTTTCGGTCTCAGGGAAAATACTCGAGACTTTTTCATGAAGGAAAGATGACTAATGGTGTCCTTTATGTTCTTTACATTAGTGCTCAAGTTTTTCACTTAAAAATGAAGTCAGTATTCAAAGTTACCACAGTCAGACTCTTCATCTTTCATTTAATTTTTGTTGTAAGGACTAATCTACATTTTTTCCCTTTTTAAAATCTTCAAGTTAGAATTGCTCTGGAAAACTATGTTATGCTAATTCTGGGCTTTAAGCATACTTGTCTTCTAATTCAAGAAGCTAAGAAATTTATAGTAACCTGCTTTAGAAACTATGATGGAGCTAACTGGGAGCATAGCATGTTTCCTTCTTTTGATTTAAAGAATATAATTTGTTAAGCCTAAATTGTGATGTTATGTAATAGAAATATTTAGTTTTGCCTATCCGTTGTATGTGCATAGTTTTGATTTTGGTGCCTTAGAATGTTAAAAAGTTGCACAGACTAGTTGTAATCATTAAGATAATTTTAATAACAGACCACTTTGAATTTTACCTAGTTTTTATTATATGGAAATAAATTTAAATAACTTAAATTTGAAGCATTTTATTCGAAATTAATTGAAGCTGTTGTTTGGGATGACTTTTGTCCTAAAGGAATAAACTCTTAAAGATTACCAGTTATTCAATATTATATATATTAAGAATTGAATTACTAAGAAAGCTTCATTTAAAAAATCTTAGTAATAACCTTAGTTGTCCTAATGACAAGCATGGTATATTAACAATTTGGAGGTTAACGCCTAAAACTTTACAAAATATGTACAGATATCTTTTATATATACGTAAACTTAAAATACTTTTTTCTCTTGACAGGAAATGCACAATTTTGAGGATGAGTTAACGTGTCCCATTTGTTACAGTATTTTTGAAGATCCTCGTGTACTACCATGCTCTCATACATTTTGTAGAAATTGTTTGGAAAACGTTCTTCAGGCATCTGGTAACTTTTATATATGGAGACCTTTACGAATTCCACTCAAGTGCCCTAACTGCAGAAGTATTATTGAAATTGCTCCAACTGGTATTGAATCTTTACCTGTTAATTTTGCATTAAGGGCTATTATTGAAAAGTACCAGCAAGAAGACCATCCAGATATTGTCACCTGCCCTGAACATTATAGGCAACCATTAAATGTTTATTGCCTACTAGATAAAAAATTAGTTTGTGGTCATTGCCTTACCATTGGTCAACACCATGGTCATCCTATAGATGACCTTCAAAGTGCCTATCTGAAAGAAAAGGACACTCCACAAAAACTGCTTGAACAGTTAACTGACACACATTGGACAGATCTTACTCGTCTTATTGAAAAGCTGGAAGAGCAAAAATCTCATTCTGAGAAAATGGTCCAAGGTGATAAGGAAGTTGTTCTCCAGTATTTTAAGGAGCTTAGTGATACATTAGAACAGAAAAAAAAATTTTTCCTAACAGCTCTCTGTGATGTTGGCAATCTGATTAATCAAGAATATACTCCACAAATTGAAAGAATGAAAGAAATGAGAGAGCAGCAGCTTGAACTAATGACACTGACAACATCTTTACAAGAAGAGTCTCCACTTAAATTTCTTGAAAAAGTTGATGAGGTCCGCCAACGTGTGCAAATCTTAAAACAAAGACCACTTCCTGAAGTCCAACCTGTTGAAATTTATCCTCGAGTAAGCAAAGTATTAAAAGAAGAATGGAACAGAACAGAAATTGGACAAATTAAGAAAGTGCTCATTCCTGAAATGAAAATTTCTTCAAAAAGGATGCCATGTTCCTGGCCTGATAAGGATGAAAAAGAAGTTGAATTTTTTAAAATTTTAAACATTGTTATAGTTACACTGATTTCAGTGATACTGATGTTAATACTCTTTTTCAACCAACACATAATAACCTTTTTAAATGAAATCACTTCAATATGTTTTTCTGAAGTCTCTCTATCTGTTTACCAAAGTTTATCTAACAATGTGCATGATTTAAAGAATATACTATGTCATACTTTATATCTATTGAAGGAATTTATGTGGAAAATAGTTTCTCATTGAGAACTTACCATCTGAATTATTTAAATGGGCTTATTCTGTATAGCAGAGACTAACCATTGCTAAGTGGAGAAATAGGGGTAGCATGGACAGATAAGCAAACTAGAGCTTAACTCTGTATGGCAGAGACTAACCATTGCTATATGGACAAATAGGGGTAGCATAGACAAGTAGTAGCATACTAAGCTTTATTAGAGTTGTAACATAATATATGGAAAGTTATATGGTTTATACTTTCTGTAGGTTAGAAATATGTCAAAATTAGAAACAAGGCAGTGTCTGAAATATTCAAATCATTATTAGAAAACAAAATCTGCTAATTACTTGAATATTAATGTATTATCCCATTTTTATTGGCTTCATGGAGGTTGACTTATGTTGCTGTGACATCTAAACATTCTTGTACCAATATTTTACCATTATTATGTACTGCAGTAGGTTGGCTTTGGAGTTCTTTATGTAGTTTTTAGGTTAAAAGATGGTAAAATGCTGAAAGTGCGTATGCCTTTGACGTTGCTTGAAGCTTTTGAACGGGTGAAAAAGGATGGTAAGAGAGGTTTTAAAATCAAGCAGCAGAGCCTAAACATGATAAGGCATTATTTATTCAAAGATCTTTTGATCAAATATACCTGGACCATATTAGATAGATTCAAGAGCCCTAAAATGTTTATCAACATTCATTCAAATGAAGTGATTGCTTTTGGATAACATGTTAGGGAACAGTGGCATTTTCTAATACTTGTCATAGTCAATGATTTGTGTAAATTGATTTTAAGATTGTATTGTCCTATCAGTTTTTGGGGAAAAAAACCCAAACATACTTGAACAGAGTCATTATTGATGACATATTCTACTCTCGACAGGTTTTGATGGCATTATGTGAACTTTAGTCGTCTTAAAAACTTAAATTATCTGCCAAATTCCCTCATGCTAATGTGGAAGTACCAGCAATTTAATCTTACATTTCTTGAATTTAAGAACTTAAGTCAAAATTCTTTAGTTCCCTTTTTATTCTTTTTTGTTTTTAAATTGTATTTTAGCGTATTATGGGGGTACAAGTGTTAAGGTTACTAACATATATTGCCCATGCCCCACTCTCCCCTTGAGTAAGAGCTTCAAGCGTGTTTTAGTTCCCTTCTTAACAGAGATTGGAGTTCTGATACTTGTGGGTTTGGCCCATTCCATTGTCCATGCAACCCCAAGTATAAACTGACTTGCTTTCCAGAAATCTCAATTGGGCTGCTCTTGAATCACCATCAAAAAGACTTTCTAGGTCAGATTAGGGAATGCTCCTGGACCTACAGTAAGTAAACCATCATGAATAAATATAGTTGTATTTAGGGGGAACTAGTTCTAAAACTCTCCTATAATCTTATCTGCTGAGAGTTAAGTCTTAATTGTCAATTTATGATTAGAATTAGACTACCTAGCACAATTAACTATTATATGGACAAAGAACAATAGAAGGGTGTACTGGAGGTGAAGAGAGATATATTCAGCTATTAAAATAGAAATAAAATTAACTTTTGACTGGTTAGTGATTTAATTTACTTAAAATATTTGTCACACCAGGAAAGTACCCTGTACTTTTGAATAAGTGTAAATATTAGTAAGCACTGAAATGTCTGTTAGCTATTATCTGTCAAGCACTTAATCTCACATATCTGTTGTATTTTTAACCCCATTTTTTGTAGAAGAGGAAACAAAAAAGTAATTTGCCCAAGGCCATACACTAGTATGTGGGAGAGCCCATGCATTCTTTTTTTCCAAGGTAAAAAAACAGTTTACTTCACCTTATACTACTTACAAGGGGCATGATTATCAGAACTTTTTGAATACATGGGCAAGGTTTTTCACATTTGAATAGAGCATTTACTGTGCAATAACAAGTATGCCAGTTTTTAATTTTTATTTCAGGATATTATGAGAGCACAAACATTTTATGTCTGCTTCACCCAAGCGAGGATTAGAGGCATGCCCTTCCCCTCTATAATGTTCACCTTGTCCATTAGTTGTGAGTTTACCCCCTACAACCCCTTAATCCCTGGAGAATATTACTACTTTCTTTTCAGAGTTCATGCTGTCACACTGCCTTTAAAGGATCTAAGTAGGCCAAGATTAATATTCATAAATTAAGGTTTATAATTTGTATTCAGAATCAAGCATACACCTATTAACACCATTTTAGGCTTGACATTAATATTTTGTAACTTGCCAGTTTTTAGTAAACAAAACTTTTATTTTTTGATAAGTTTTATGAAGTATGCATTAATAAAGTATCCAAGTAACTGATTCTTATACATGCTGTTCTTTTGTATTTTTGCCAAAGGATGAGATTATACAGTTTAAAATATATAATCTTGAACTATTTCTAAGTTTTATGCATAACAAAAGTATATACTTTAATAAACTCATTTTGATATTTTATTTGCACTGAGTGGCTTAAGACACTCAAACTCAGGAGTTGTGCCTTCGGAATTTTCATATGGGTTCTAGGTATTTTCTGTTTTAACTCTAAAACAGTACTGAACTCTATTTATTATTAATAAAAGTATTAAAAATTCCTTTCACTTCTCTCACCAATGAAAACGATAAAGGAAAAGTAAAAAATGCTATATTCTTGATTTAAAACAAAAGACCATGCTTGACTTTTCAGATCTTTATTTAAGTCCATGCTACTAACATATTTACATTTTTATGGCTGTATTATGACACACACTGTGTGGTACATTATTTTGGGGGGGGAAACAGGGTATCTTGTCGCCCAGGCTATAGTGCAGTGACATGATCATAGATAGTTCACTGTTACCTTGAACTTGAACTTGGGTCTCAAGCGATCCTCCTGTCTTGGGTTCTCAGAATGTTGGGAGCACAGGCATGAGCCATTGCACCCACCCCTGATGGATTTTTAATACTTAAAACAATGGTCCACTAAATAATGAAATAATTAGCTCTTTAATTCCTTAGGGGTAAGTATCTAGAAATGGGCAAAGAATTTTGATTCAATTACCAAAATCCCTATAGAAACCATATGGTGCCAACTTATTTTCCACCAGTAGCATTGTAACATTTTTGAGGCAATACAGTGTGAAAAATCCTAACAATTCAATAGGCAAACACTCAAGACATCCTATTTTCCTAAGGAAGTTTAACCTCCATATACATATGCTTGATTTATAATGGGGCAATGTCCAGATAAAACTAAGTTAAGAACATCTACTTCATTCTTAAGAAGCAACTATAGGCTGGGCGTGGTGGCTCATGCCTATAATCCTAGCACTCTGGGAAGCCAAGGCAGGAGGATCACTTGAGGTCAGGAGTTCGAGACCAGCCTGAGCAAGAGCCAGACCCCGTCTCTACTAAAAATAGAAAAAAAATTAGCTGGACCACTAAAAATATATAGAAAGTTAGCTGTGCATGGTGGCACATGCCTGTAGTCCCAGCTTACTTGGGAGGCTGAGGCAGGATTGCTTGAGCTCAGGAGTTTGAGGTTGCTGTGAGCAAGGGTGAAGCCACAGCACCCGAGCATGGGCAACAGAGACTCTGCCTCAAAAAAAAGCAACTATATAGTGGGATAGTTTTCAAATTATGATACAGGCTAGTTATGTTCAGACATTGCTTCAGTTTAATGGCTCTATTGCAAGTAAGTTTCAAATGGTCAAACAAGTTTTAGAAAAGCATACGATATTTAAATTCACATTCCTATAACTCAGAATGACCCCGGTTTAGCAAAAAAGTTCCTTCCCATTATTTGGGTAATATAGTGATTGTCTAAATAAGCAAATAAAGCATAAGGCCTTAATAATTTATCGAGTATTAGTAGGCAGGCTTTTCTAGTATAGGTGAAAGTTCCATGAAGGTATGCTGAACCTTGATAACAAAATCTAGTTTAGAAATTTGCCTCAGCAAACATACTTTTTGTTGGCAGGAAGTGAGAATCAAAGTCACCTGACCCTCCAGGTTATTTTATTTTTCTCATAGACTACCACTTACAAAATTATCAGATCCTTACAATCTCCTGAAGTACAGAGAATATTTTATTAGGCTTTATAAAAATGACTCTTAATATTATTTTGTGATCCAGTTTAGGAGTATGTATTTAATATAAGTCATCATCTTTTACAAATAGAAAAACCAATAATATGATACACAGAATCTATGCCATTCAATTCGAAGAGTCTTCGGTACAAAAGCTCAACAAAGTCCTTTAGATGCAATTTCTTTTGGGTTTACTGCAACACTTTTTGTTATATTGTATGTCTTGTAAATTCCAATAAGTCTATCTGAAATCTCAAACATATTATTTCGAAGAGAAATTATTATGAACTGGGCATTTTTTGTTTGTTCCTAAAAAAAAAAAAAAAAAAAAAGTTAAAAACATTTGGTAATAATGGGAAATCACATAATAAACATGTAACTCAAAGGAGACCAGATGGCATTGATAAGGGTATCTGTCACGGAGTGCTAGTCTAGATCTGCGTTAAACATCCAATTATATGTATCCAGTCAGGGCGGCTTAGAAAGGCATGAACTGAATCCGGAAACGAGTCCATCTAAAAAATGAACCTAATTCACACCAAATGGGAAACGGGCGCACATAACAATTCCGAATTTTGATTGCAATTCAGTAGCAAGGTTGCACTTGAAGCATCATGTAGATCCGATAGCTCATAGAGAGTATGAAGATCAGCCTTGACTCTTTATCCATACTATTTGAAATTCAGATGATATTGATCACCTTTGTGTAATATACATACGCAACTGTATGTCTCCTTCATTATATTTATTCCCATGTTGGGATTTGTCTCTCATAGAGTAGAGCATATGCACTGAGAGAAATCGTAGGGCTGAATTTCTTCGAATTCAACTATATTCTGACTGAGTTCATATGCACAAAGTATACAAACAGTATAAACCTATAGTACATTGCAATATTGAATTCATAAATTAAACAATCTGAACTGCATTATATAGTTATATAATTCAGCTATAATAGATGGATAGCATTACAACGGTCAAGTGTAATAGATAACAAACCCAAACAAAACCTCAGAGAGAGAAATAACATTATCTATATATTATATAAAAAATTTACTTATGTGACGATGGTAACTATATTTGGCACTATTTCACAGAATGAGAGTAGGACAAAAAATGACAAGATTCCAAACACCTAGAAGACAACCCAAGCACTTCCAATCAGGATACTTATATTATTCTAAGTAAAGTAAAAATGAGGCAAATTCGCCAAGAACTTTTACTCTGCTTTTACGATAATAAAACCACTCTTAGAATAGCTGACAATACTGGATCAACGCCACCAAAAATAGCATTAACCAAACAAGATAGAAGACTGAAGAAGTGGCTATTTACAGGAGACATGAGGTCCTAGCAACAAACATCATAGTTCAATGGCGATTAAGGAATATTTTTTCTGAGAGCCATAAATCGAGAAATTTATTATACTTCTATTATCTTTCGGGAGTACCACCTCTAACGCCTGATACTACAATCCCGTCAATCAGCATATGTTAGAGTAGAATTATACTGGTACATGCAATGAGACAGAGTGGTAAACACGTTAATGATAAGTGAATAGAATTCGGGTATCATATTCAATATTTGTTGGAGTTACTGAAGAGATAACAACGAAGAGAGAGGTCATAAGCTAGTCATAGAATGATAGTCGTTTGAGGAATACCATCAGTAATTAAGTAATTTGTTATGAGAAACAACCTGCTCATTGAGTTTCATATTTAGGATAGTATGTATTGTCGAGCTTGTCGACATAGCTATAATTAATATGAGCTTTTACAATACTCTTGTATACATATCCATATGGTGGGTCCATTTTGACATTTAAAAGAGTTCTTACGATGATCAATTCATCTATTCCTAACATACGAGTTCCAATACCCATCGTTTTCTTATATAATAGGTCGTATGTCGGGGCGTATAAGGAGAGACTCCAAAAAAGACGTGATTTCGTAAAAAGTCAAATCACATATGATATATGTACATGAGCATATTGTACTTGTTAGTTTCACCATTTATCCCATATCTCATAGTCTCTGATATTAGTAAGATATATCATATGGAAACTTTACACAATTTACGTGCCATATATTTCAAAAAATAATTCTCACGTTAAGTTTAGTAAAACACTTCTGATCTAATATTCCGAAGATATACTCTAAGATGCGAAAAATATTATATATTTTTGTGCTTACTGTTATATTCATTCACAAACATGCATAAAAAAACTGCTATGAATTCACATACAATTCCTGAGTACTATGAGCCTCCAGACACCATTTATAAGTTACAACAACAAACCCGGTATTCAATTTCTCTATACATAAGACTGAAAAAATGCTCAATATAGATAGTCCTGGATATCTAAACTCCCTTATACCTTCCGATTTCCAGACCATTTCCACACATCCCCCCACAATCACTGGATCACATAAATGTACCGATTTATACATCCATTTCCGACACTAATGAGTATGAAATCGGATCCTACCATCATTGGGATAAATATCGTGACAGTACTACCAATCAGACCAGCTCCGCTTACACTACTTTTAAAGTGCAAATAACAGAGAATTAGTATGAACATTCCTGAATCTTTTCATCGGAAAGATCAGAACAAGAAAATTTGACGCTATGGAAACATCCATAAATCTTATATTATGTATTTTTATATTTTTTTTTTTTTTTTTTTTGAGACATGAGATCCGCTTCACAAACATTAATGTATCGCCAGTGATACACCAGACGTGAAAATGCACGTAAGGCAGTCAGCCTAGAGCTCATAGCCAACCCAGCCTCAACTAGCTTCATACCAATCTGTCTACCCACACTTTCCACATAAGCAATGAGGAACCTCAAAGAACTGCCACTCCAGGTAGACAGCACCAGCTAAGAGCATAAACCTATTTCATATATAGGGAAAATAGGACCTTTTAAAGAATCCCAATAATTCTGTGCATAAAGTGACAGAGAAAACGGGTCTCGCTATGCTCCACGCTCAGGCTAGTTTCAAACTCCTGGACTTCGAGCACGGAATCCCCACCCACCAACTCATCGCCAGACACGGCATCCAGATCTAGGATTACACAACTAGGCATTACAGCACTCACACTCAGCCTGGACTCTCTTATCTCACCTATATTCTAGCTTCGTTATAAGATCAAAGTTGACAATAGAAGTTATTTCCTCATCAAGTCACCAACTTTCCAGTCAAATATAGAAATGACTCATGGCGGACAAGCTTTACTGATATAATCATCTCTGTAAAGGATAAATAAAAATTTGGGAGAATATAACCAACAGTTCAATAGGACAACAAAAGACTAACTACAAAAACAATACACAGCAACAATCCCCTTGAACCACAAGAACACAACTGAAAGACAGGTAGAACAACTCTACATACTCCAGAATGAGAAATGAGGAATCCAACAAGAGCCATCTCACCCTGCAAGCATCCAGAAGCAAAATCCTATAGTCATACAATTATTAGTAGTATAGCCAAACCACTGAACTAAATTGAAAAAATAAATACGACGAAATAACTAAAAACCACTTTGCTCAATATATCTATGCCTTATAAACTTTTTCTGAAAAAATACAAGAGAAGAAGAAAGGGAGGATGAGGTATCAAAGAGAAGGTAGCATGAACGAGGCCATTGAGATTATGTATTTCATAGAAACATGACTTATTTAACAGGCCAATGACCCTTTATTTTCTCTTTTCAAAAATGGAATGTTTCCTTTTTCTTTTTTTTTTTTGAGACAGAGTCTCGCTTTGCTGCCCAGGCTGGATGAGTGCCCGTGGCATCAGCCTATGCTTCACAGCACTCAAACTCCTGGGCTCAAGAAATCCTTCTGCCTCAGCTCCAAGTACTGAGACTACAGGCAATGTGTCACCATTCCCAGCTAATATTTATATACTATAAATAAAACACCACAACTATATCACAGATTTAGCAATTAATTATCCTTCACAATTTGTGACCGGACATAGTAGATGACCATGCAATCCGTGCAAGCATATTTAGCTCCAGGAACAGATATGAACTCCTGACCTTAGAGAGCAGTCAAAACTACTGACACAGCATCTGGGCCTCCCAGCACTGATAGGATAAAGCATCGAGCCCCCTCGTCCTGTCAACATATGGCTTTTTTTTTTTTTTGAACGGAGTCTCAGCTTTGTTACTGAAGGCTAGAGTGAGTGCCAATGGCCATCAGCCTAGCTCACAGCAACCTCAAACTCCTGGCTCAAGCATCCTCTGCTCCAGCCCCCAGTCAGCTGGGACTACAGCATGCCACATGCCTAGTGCCAATTAATTTGTTTCTATTACATAGTGAACGGGGTCTCGCCTTGCTCAGGCTGGTTTCGAACCCTGACTGAGCAATGCCCGCCTTGGCTCCAGCAGTGTGGATCAAAGGCGTGAGCCCGCCGGCTCATATGGCTTTTTTAAATTCAATACTATTCTTCCACTTACTAAATTATTCTTCTTTCTTGTAGTATGTATGCTTTACACCTCATCCATTATTTCCTTAAAAAGAGTTCTAAAATAACATATATCCTACATGTGAGCATACAATGTTAAGCATTTTTGCATAATGCAAATTGTTTTCAAATAAATTTTAATGCAGTACTATAGCCATATGCAAAATATTTTTCCATGTCTTTTGCAAACACTAGAGTAGTCTTTTAAGAATGTTGTATTTGCACTTGTGACTAAAAATGCATTTTACACTGTCTTCTAAATACTTATACGCATTTCATCATTTTTGGCCATTTTCTTTTATATTATGTTTTCGCTCTATTAGTGTTTATCTTTTTCTTAAAGACTTTTAAATGCCTTTTTTAAAATTCAAAATATTTAAAGTAAGATTTGTTTATAAAGTAAAATTGACCACTTTAAGTTAAGATGTTTCCTGTACGCGTTTAACGAGCAAGAAGAGTATTTGAACATCAAGTTAAGGAGCTGAAGCTAATGTACTTGCTACACCCGCAAAAAAAAGCAGATTGCTAGAAGAATGTTACATGCCTCCAAAACAGCGTATGCTTTAAAGCGATAAAACATTTGGCGGCGCGCTGTGCTCACGCCTGTAATCTAGCTCTTGGGAGGCCGAGCGGCGGATTGCTCAAGGTCCAGGAGTTCAAACCAGCTGAGCAAGAGCGAGACCCGTCTTACTATAATAGAAGAATTATGCCACTGATATATATATAATCTGAATTTATTTATTAATCGGTGCATATTTTCTCGTGGCTCGATGCTCGTTTTATGTCCTAGCATATCTGCCCCAGTGTCTGATGCAAAGAATGCACT